TTAGAGCGGATAAGGAAGGTGGGGATGGAGAAAATATGACATTTAGATGAAAGAAAGGAGGCTGAGTGTGGGAGGGTAAGAGACATTCAAGTACAGGTTGTGGCCCATGTAAATGAGAGTCTAATTCAGTCTTCAGCTTCTGACAGTGAGGGTTTTCTATGGGCCTCTTCAGTTGTCAGGAAAGGGAGAGGGTGGCTGGCCAGGTCTGTGGGGAGTAGGGTTTGGAAAGTGCTTCTGCTGGGGCTGTGCTCCGCTCTCCTGTGACTGTTAGTTAACAGACTCCTGTCTGCCTTTGTGAGGTCCTGCTTTTTCCCCTGGCTGGGAGCACCACCATAAATACCTTAAAATCATATTTGTTGGGTAATGTGGCAAAGACCAAATTCTGCTTATGAAAGAGAATGAACTGAATAGTGTGTAAAAGTGAGAATTGCATGAATTTTTTCAAGTACCTGTGTCATTTTGTACTTCATTTTCATTTTCCTACAGTGTGACAAAGTATAGTTTATATGTTCAAACCTAGTTTTCCTCCCCCCTCCCTCTTTAAATAGGGGTAAAGCTTAGTTTTGAGATGGGTTGTGAACAATCCAGGACAGTGCCCGGTTGGCATGTAGTAGAAGTTGGTATCACTGCATTGGTGAAAGTGAGAAGTACCTTTTGGATTGCTTCCTAGCTGGAAAAAAATTCCTCCACGCGCAGATTTATTCTTCTGCATCTCGGACTTTCAAACTGTGATGGATGACCTTCCTCTGGAAGGTCTCTGGGTGGTTTATGGGTGAGTGTCTGAAGTGACTTAGTCATTTACTATTTGTTTTAAATATAAAAATGCTGCTTCACTGCTAACTTTCTAAGTGACAAAATTCCCTTCCCCCAATTTAGTTGACAGTGAAGTTGGTTTTTTCCCCTCATCTCTGCTTAAGTTCTAACAACTGAGGGAAAAAATGGGAATCATGAGGGCAGCGGCTTACATCTTTTCAATTCACCACTATATCTGCAGTGCCTACAAGAGTAGGGTCACCGTGTTTATTGACTAGTTGTCATAGAGCCTTGAGTGTATTGGAGGGGTTGAATCTTCCATGGATATTAGAATCCCACTACTGACCTGTTCCCAAGATTCAAAGTTAGAAGTAGTTTCAAAATAAAATTCTCACTTACTTTTATGGAAAATTGATTTTTAAGCAGATGAGATGTCTTTTCCAGATAGTGTCATTTTGTAGGAGAAAGTTAATCAGTAGCAATGCAGAGCTTGGACTCTAGAGACAGGATCCAGGTTGGATTCTAGGGTCTGGCATTTAGTCACTCTGTGATCTTAGATACATGCTTTAACGTTTCTAAGCCTCAGTTTTCTCTTCTGTAAAATGGAGACATAATAGTCCCATATTCACAGGGCTGTTGTGAGGACTGAATGTGCTAAAGCATTATTTGGCACATAGTAAGGTTTCATACACAGATGCTATAAGTCTACAATATTTTTCAAGTCCATTTGATAAACTTTAGGGAAATGAGGTATATGTTAACCTTTGGGGACTTAATGCTATTTGTTAAACTAGAAAAACTCAAATGCTGTAATTATATACATTTTGTAGTAACTAAAGAAAAGTACTTTGCACATAAATGTTCAACTGCATGAAATGTGCTGTAATTGTAGACTTAATAATTAGATGTAGAAACATGTTTTCTTAAAAAAAATCTGACTTTTAAGATGTTACAGAAAAGTAATGTTGGATACAGAAAATACTAAGTGGTTATTTTATTTAAACAATGGTATGAATTAATTTCTGTCTCTTGGAGTTAAGAGGGAGATTATAGTTACTTCTTTGATGCATTTTTGCTCTTCTTTGGCATGAATTTGTTTCTTTAAAAATTGGCATGCTCTTATC